GGCTCTGGGGCTGGCAGGGTGTTGGGGCATCCTCAGCGTTTTGGGGGACAGGAACTCCCAGGAGAGCACAGGCCGGTCTGTCACCGGAGGTGCCCCTGATGCAGCTGCCTTTCGGCCCCAGCTTCACAGCCGCTTCTTCCCCTCCCCTGGGTGGCTGCAGGAGCGAGGTGGATTCCCGGCAGCCGGGCTGCGTTTCACTCCCTGGCCCCTTTCACTTGAGTTTTTGTGGTCTCTGTATTTCCCCTTCTGCTTCTTCCGCGGGCTCAGTGCACCCTGGGGAAGGAGGCTCAAAGCTTTAGCACAGCAGGGAGACAGAGCTGTCCCCACAGAGCTGGACCCAGCCGGTCAGCGTGTTCCCTTCGTGCCGTCTGCCACGGCTCAGCCTGCCCTTCCCTCGGCCCCGGTTTCACCCCGAGCACCAGCCGGTTCCCCTGAGAACAGAGTCCTAGGCAAACCTCCCTGCAGCAGAGTCCTCCCTCCGCCAGGCACGGAGACACCAAGATGGCACCCAAGGGTGCTGGGGGCACTGCCGAGCCCCTGTGTGAATGCCACCCCTAGCTCAGTGCCCCAAACACTGGGGTTCGTAGGAGCTTTTTGTCCTCTCTGCCCCTCGAAGCTTGCTCCTGGGGATCCCCAGGCAGGTGGGGCTCACAATGTCTTCCCACAGGTGGCTGGGGAGCAGAAGTACCACCCTGAATGCTTCAGCTGCCTCAACTGCCACGCGTTCATCGGGGACGGGGACACCTATGCGCTCGTGGAGCGCTCCAAGCTGTACTGGTATGTCAGAGCCCTGCTGGGGCATCGCGGAGGGCAGGGAGGCACTCCCCACAGGACGGGTGCTGGCCGACGCTCTGCTGTGTCTCCCTTTCCCTGCTCGCCCAGCACCCGCTCTTCACCCCTCTTGGCCCCACAGTGGGCACTGCTATTACCAGATGGTGGTGACGCCGGTCATCGAGCAGATCCTGCCAGACTCGCCAGGCTCCCGCATCCCGCACACCGTCACGCTCGTCTCCATCCCTGCCTGCTCCGATGGGAAGCGAGGGTTCTCCGTATCCATCGACCAGCACTGCAGCTCACAGGGCTGTGCCTCTGAGCACTCGCACACTGTCCGTGTCCGAGAGTACGTACCGCGTGGGGCACCCTGGCCTTGGTGCTGTGTCCCCTCTTCCCTTCTCCCCAGCCACAGGCAGCACTGAGGGTTGGGGGTTCCTGGGTCTGCCCTTGCCTTCTGCTTACAGCATCAACCCCCTGATTTACCTTCCAGAGCCCTTCCAGGTGCGGGTGGGTGAAGGATGGGGCTAGTGTGTCCGCATCTGCCAGAGGGGCCTGTGGGTACTGTGCTGGCATGTCCCATATGCTGAGGAAGGTTTGTGGATGCTGTGCTAGTATGTCCCCATCTGTCGGGGTGGCTTGTGAGTAAATGTGTCGATGTTCCTCTCTCTGATGGGGTGGTCTGTGGGTACCATGCTGGCATATCTTCTTATGCTGATGATGGCTTGTGGGTACGGTGCCAGCATGACATCATCTGCATGGGGTAGCTCAGGGGTACTGTGTGAGCATGTCCCCATCTACTAGGGCTGACTCACAGATATCATGCCTGCATATCCTCATCAACCAGGGGTGACTCGAGGCTAACATGCCAGTGTGTCCCTACTTGCACAGTGTCCTATTTGCCAGGGGTGGCTCACGTGTAACGTGCTGCTCTGTGCCCACCCGTCACGGCTGGCTCATGCATACTGCTCCAGCACGTCCCCAGCTCCTGGGCTGGCTCGCGTGTACTGTGTCAGAGCCAGAGGGGTTGACCCCCCACCCTTGCATGTTGGCCCTACAGAGTCGATCCAGATTGCATCAGCCCTGATATGAAGAACTCCATCCATGTGGGAGACCGTATCCTGGAGATCAACGGCACACCCATCGGGCACGTGCCCCTGGATGAGGTACCGTTCCCTCCCCGGCCACCCCCAGCAGGTTGTGGACAAGACCACAGGGTCCCCTATGAACCAGCCCCCAGCATTGTCTGTGCCCCTAGATTGACCTGCTGATCCAGGAAACCAGCCGCCTGCTCCAGCTGACCATCGAGCATGACCCCCATGAGCCCCTGGCCCGCGAATCGGCCCTGGAGTGCAGCCCGCTGTCTGACCTGCACAGCCCCCTGCGCTCCCCGGCCCGCACGCCCTGCGGGGAGGCCAGTGCCATGCGCCAACGGGCAGTCATGTAAGTCTTGCACTTGCACATGTCCCCTGTCATGGGCTTGGGGTCCCTCCCTGGCCCCTGCTCCTGGCACCAACCTGACCCTGCATGTGGTTTGCCCCACAGGAGGAGCTGCAGCACAGACAAGTCACCCGCCTCCAGCTCCATGGGCTCGCCAGCCTCCCAACGCAAGGACATCAGCCGCTCCGAGTCACTCCGTGTGGTCTCTCGCACACACCGCATCTTCCGTCCCTCAGACTTGATCCATGGCGAAGTGTTGGGGAAAGGCTGCTTTGGCCAAGCCATCAAGGTGGGTCCGTGGCCTGTCTGCCTCCAGTGTGGCTCCAGCAGGGACAAGGAGAATCATCACCATCTCCTCTCTTCTTCATTAGCCCTGATCCCAAGGAGAGCCTTCCCTCTACACCTCTTCCCCCTAAGCTCCTGCAGGAGACCCTCCCTTCACATAGGCAGACTTCTGCCCTTCTCCTTGCAGCATCTCTTGTATGAGGGTCTCAGCTCCCTGGGCACCATTTCAGGGGGAGGATATTGGGGTAGCATCTCCAAGGCCTGGTGTGTTTCCAGTGCTGGCTGCCGTGGGGTTGGCAGCTGGGAGCCGGTGGCTCAGTGCCTACCCTCTCTGCTAGGTGACACATCGGGAGACGGGCGAGGTGATGGTGATGAAGGAACTGATCCGCTTTGACGAGGAGACACAGAGGACCTTCCTCAAAGAGGCAAGTGTCCTGCTTCTTTCTGTAGGGCTAATTGCCCTGTGTTGGGGGGACAAGGGATGAGGCTGTCTTTCCACAGGGGAAGGGGGTCTCCTGGAAGCACAATATGTTCTCAGTCCTCACCAGGCTGGGTGGCTGTGCTGGGAAAGGGTGTTGGGTGTGGCCTAGGATGCTGGACACGACATGGTGGTGCTGATGGGCAGCCCGATGTTGACCAGCTGTTGGGAACAGGCAGGGCAGGCACCTGTCCTAGGAGTGGGACTCAGAGGAGGGGGTGGGGTTGGGTGGCTGGGCAGCAAAGTGGACTCCCAATGCTCAGGCAGCGAAGCATCCGTGGCGCCTAGACGAGGAAGTATCGGGTAGCGAAAGGCTCCAGGAGCCCCCTGAGTCAGCGCGATGAGGGAAGGTGAAGGGGAGACTTGATACCAGCATCAGAGACCTGCATGGGGAAGGGAAATTGGATAGCAGAGGGGAGGGCTCCGGGCATGGCAGACAAAGGGGCAATGAGAGGAGGGAGATGGAGAGCAAGATGGGACTAATTCAAGATAAACAGACCTACCCATTTAAGCTGAGAGTGATTAACACAGGCAGTGGTCTGTCTCTGAGGGTGTAGGGGTGTCTCTGTGAGCCTGGCTCAGGCCAGGGCAATCTGGTCAACTCTGAGGGCCTGATGGGTGCTCTGGTCCCACAGGTGAAGGTGATGCGTTGCTTGGAGCACCCCAATGTGCTGAAGTTCATCGGGGTGTTGTACAAGGAGAAGAGGCTCAACTTCATCACAGAGTACATCAAGGGGGGCACCTTGCGGGGCCTGATCAAGAGCATGGTGAGCGCTGGGCTGGAGATGGGCTTGGAGCTGCTCTCCAAACCCATCCTGATGGCACAGCTCCAAGCCCAGCGCTGAGTGTGCCAGGCAGGCCATATCCAGAAGCACAGCCCCGGGGCTTTCCGTGGCAGCTCCCCTTTCCTTTTCTCCCAGCAAATACCCTCCCTTCTGCCTGCAGGACAGCCACTACCCGTGGAGCCAGAGGGTCAGCTTTGCCAAGGACATTGCAGCCGGCATGGTGAGTGACACTCAAGCAGGCCAGACGGGGCACATGGGGACACTGGGCATTGCTCGGGGTGGTGTGGGTTTGGCAGGTGCTGCAGCGTGGGCCTGAGGGCGACGTCTCAGTAGGCCAGCAGGCAGTGGTCACCGCTGGGTAGGTGTGTGAGTGCACAGGAGGGATGCTCTGGGCATGGGGTGTGTGGGTACATGGGGCACTGCCAGGTGTGTGTGGCAGGCTTGGGTGCACTGGGCGCAGCTGGGTGGGTGTGTTGGGTGCTATTGGGTAAGTGTGCTGGGTATGTGTGTGCTGGGCGCTGGAGGGGATATGCTGAGTGCTGGATGGTGCATTGGGTACTGCTGGATGTGGGTGGCAGGCACTGGGCATGGGTGCCACTGGGGCTGGCTCTGGGTGCTGTCACCCTGCTCTCAGCCCATCTTTCCCCTCAGGCCTACCTCCACTCCATGAATATCATCCACCGCGACCTCAACTCTCACAACTGCCTAGTGCGGGAGGTAAGTCCAGCCGTGGCTGTGCCCACTGGCCCAAGCGTGGGAACAGAGCTGCCCACTGTCTCCCAGACTGGGTGAGGGTCACCCATGTTCACCCCACACCTGAGCCCTCATCTGTCTGTGTCCTGCCCAGAACAAGAGCGTGGTCGTGGCCGATTTTGGGCTGGCACGGCTCATGGTGGATGAGAAGAACCAGCCTGAGCATCTCAAGAGCCTGAAGAAGCCAGACCGGAAGAAGCGCTACACAGTGGTGGGCAACCCTTACTGGATGGCCCCTGAGATGATCAATGGTGAGTGTGGCCACGGTGCCCTGCAGCATGGGGGATATGGCTGGCCGGGTCTCTGTTCTAAGGCAGGTGACACGTAATAGGGCAGGGACAAGGTGTACAGCACAGCCCAACCCATTTCTCCTTGCAGGCCGGAGCTACGACGAGAAGGTGGACATCTTCTCTTTCGGCATCGTTCTGTGCGAGGCAAGTACCACTGGTGGCCCTGCCCTGGGGTCTTCGGTGATGCTCTAATCAGGCTGTGCCTTCTCCTCACTCCCTCTCTCCCCCAGATCATTGGCCGAGTCAGTGCTGACCCCGACTACTTGCCCCGCACCACAGACTTCGGTCTCAATGTGAGGGGGTTCCTGGACCGCTACTGTCCCCCTGCCTGTCCCCCCAGCTTCTTCCCCATCGCTGTGTGCTGCTGTGACCTGGACCCTGAGAAGCGGTGAGCAGTTGGGCCCTTGCATCTCCCCATCCTGGGGACTGACATGGCTGTACCATGGGCCGGTGCTGGGGCCACCAACCTGGCAGGGGAAACGATATGGAGCTGGAGCCGTGAGTGGCAGGGTGCTGAGTGGAGTTGGCTAGGAGCTACCATCTCTCCTCTCTCTCGCTTAGGCCATCCTTCAGTAAACTGGAGCAGTGGCTGGAAACCCGTCCGCTGAGCGCGCAGCTGTATCCGCTCGAACGAGCCTTCTGGGAGACGGACCGGCGGGGCGAGAGTGGGCTGCCCACGCACCCCGAGGTCCCCGACAGAGCTGCGCACCCGCGCCCCCTCTAATGCCACACCAGTCCCTAGCGTGGGGACGGGAGCACTCTCGTCTCTCAGGGCTGTGCTCTCACAGCGTGTGGGGAGCACGACGCCGAAGATGAGCACCTCTTCCAGCCTACCGATAGCCCCCGGGGCTGGGTCCCTGGGGCTCTCAGAAGGAGCAAGAGCCCCCATCTCTCCTTCTCTGCAAGGGCCGGTTTCGTTGCTTCCCGTCCTGTATTTGCACCCCCCGTCCCTGGGAGCTGGCTCTCCCTGTGCCCCGACGTCCCGTGGACCCCATCTGCCTGCCTACGTCCCCACCAGCTTCCTCACGGGAATCCGGCTGGGGCTCTTTGGACTGCACAGAACTGCACGTGACTGGCGACTGGCCCCGTTTGTACATAGCCCCTGTAAATAGCCCCTGCCCCCAGGAAAGCCCGGCCTGCCGGGAGCGAGACGGCCGGCCGCAGCGCAGGGTCCGCGGGGGGCCGGA